AGTACTTCTGAAGATTATGATATTACTTAGTTAGGTATATGTGTACTTGTTAAATATTTAAATATAAGTATTTAAATACTTTTTCTGTATTTTAAATACATTTGAAATATTTTTTGACAGAATTATATTTAAAGATATTACGCGGAAAATAATAATTCCCGTGTATCGCATATCTATTTGTCTATTTATATTTTATAGTATCGTAGTACGGTGACACCTGGAATCCCAGTATCTCACATTCTCACATATTTTGACACTTGTTATTCTTTAATAATCGTTAAAATTAAATTATTAAGTTAGTCACTAGTTAATAAAAATGAATGTAATTTTATCGTAATGTTTTAAGAATTAAAAATCTGACAACAATAAAACCTAAAAAAATGCATTTAAAAGTATTTAAAATATTTTTTTGAACATATTTGTATTTCTATTTAAATATTTATTGGTAGTGGTATTTAAATAAATATTTTAATAATTTTTAACTGAAGGTTTAAATACCTATTTAAAATACTTTTGAAAAGTATTTTTAACAACAATGGGTTAGGTTCATCCTTCAAAAATACGTACCGCTTTATTGTGTTGTATGAGCGTTGATCGCCGACAGAACAAATAAGAACTTGTTGTTATGGAAAAAATAAAATCGTCACCGTTCGTAAGTAACACGGGACCACCAATGATTAAAAGAGTTCGATTACCGTTCGGGTGAAATGTTTACAAAGGCCGTAAACAATGTGTTTAGGTGTAGGTACTGTATTTTCTTTTCCGGCACATCGTTGACGGCAAGTGTAACGAAGAAGAAATCGCTAACGCTACACATTTGAATGCGATATTTGATTTCTTTTCACGCGTTATTACACCGAAAACGTTTGATTTATTATAACGTCGTACGAGCACGGCTTTCTCGGTTACGCCGTACACTCATCAGTAACGGGATCCGAAATCGTCTAAATCATAGTTGTTATTTACTACGTGTAATCATCTGCAATCAAATTAATTGCATAAAATGAAATAATTTATTTTCCCGACCACAGTGCTTCTTAATCGCCGTCGGTCGACAGGGCCTACCACACAACCGTCGAAACCATTTGTAATTCAATAAACACTCTATTGCGAATCGTCATGATGTTTCCTCGCGTTACGGCATTATTGAACCTAATCGATATTAACATTTCACGCAGCGAAGAACGTATAATCATGTATTATATATATATTTTTTTATCGCGTGAGCGTATATTATACAATGAGTGATGAGGTACGTTAAAGTAGAATTCGGAATTCTAAAGAAACCCGGAACGCCACTCGATTAAACGATTTTGTTAATTTTTATGTAACATACATACTTAACGTCGACTTTTATAGACTTGTAGACTTGTGAGATTTTTCGGTTGTGACGATCGAACAAAAAAAAAAAAAAAGGTTTGTCACTGAGCAAAAATATATTTTATAACCTTGTTTGGTACAATTCCTTTAAATTAAATAATTCTTTCATCTCTTTGAAGTATTATTAAATAATAATAACCTTTTATTTTACATAACGCGTATTTTAATATAATTTTTTATGAATTTATACTATGAACGTGAAAAATACCATGATTTAACATAGAATATCTATCGGATCATGTATAATATATCCACACAGCTATTCGATCTCGATGTATAATTTTGTTACTCATTGTTTTTTATTACTGTTATTATTTGCTACAATCTGAAAATTATGGACTCAGAGAATGCAATTTTATGTATTGTTGTATCGAAAAAACGATGGAATTCCAAGAGCTTAATAAACATTACTATATATTTATATATTACTGAGTAAAGTATTTTATTTTTCGATGTGAAGTTGAAAAAGAATGTGTATTTACTGATATAAGTATTATTGTGTGGATGTCAACAAAACCGAAACAAAATTTGTAATTGTAATAAATTCCAGTATATATTTTATATATTGTATATGTTCATCCAATGAAAATAGAAAATTCGCATGGATTACAACAATTCGTTCCGGTTTTTTGTCAGAAATATAATGTTATATTATCATCACACATTCGAATGAGATGATAAATTATCGAATTAAAAAAAACGATTCTGAGTAGAGTTAATTTTACGTGCTATGAGTAATTGTCTACTAAGTAGTTTGTTGACTATGCAATGTGCGAGTATACGGTATTTGTTGTCAATTTAATGTTAAGTGTTTATATTAACGATATTAAAGGATCTAAGAAAATATTAATGATATTCAATCGAAGTAGGAATGTATGTAAACATAACTTACACTCTTAAACGAAAAAAACCAATAAGGCGAATATATAATATACTATATATAATATATATAATATATAATATATATTATACTTTTGTTTAAAGAACATGGAATATTCACTAGATGCATACATATTTTATATATGACTGTATTTTGATGGAAATAATGAGATTTTATTTGTAAACGCATAGTTCGAGTGTAATATTTTTTCAGCGTTTAATGTCATGCGTATATTTTATACAGGTATATTCGATAGATTTTTTTTCTAAATCTACAAATTGTTTATCAAAGCAAATATTAATTTTACCAGAAAAGTGCAAATAACATACATATTTTATTTGAATCCAAATTGATGAAAGAGTTTTGAACAATAAAACAAATCAACCTTTTGTTTTTAGAAGTGTAGTTTGAATAATATACAGGGTGAACCAGCTATGTTTTCCCGATAGAAATATCTCCGTAAATATTAATCATTTTTCTATGTTTTTTTTAAAATTTTATTTTGCTTTTGTCAATCACATTAAATCAATGCAGTTATAAATTTATAGTAAAACATATATTAATATTATGCACAAATGAATAAATTAGGAAGCCAGCGGAATTCATAAAACTAATGATGGAATGAATATTATAAGTGAGAGTTAAGAAGAATATTTCATTGGGGACTGAGATAACCTAGAGAAGTTAAAAAATAAAAAAAGGAGTTGTCTGCTAGGGAAAAGGGAAGGACAATTAAAATTAAATGATGAAAATCGCAAATTGATTTCTCATAGGGTCGGGTACGTTGTTGAGACGAATTAAGGGAAAGTTCGAAAGAATGGTGCGGGAGTGAATTATTTAAAGAACGAAACAAATTTTGATCATGATAATTGCTACGTTTTAAAATCTAGTGATTGGTTTCATTATAGGTATTATCATAGTATTATAGATATAATGTAAGTATTGAAACGAAGAAAAGCGTATTATCAAGGTGGTTGTAATTAATCACTATAAATTAAATGGTAATTACAACAATAAAACTGTATTATATGTGTATATAGGTATGATAGTCACTACTATGATAAGATACTCCTGAAAGTCGTACTCAATGGAAGCCGAGTGGGTACTTAAGATAATTTAAATGAACTACCCAAATTTTGTGCGTGGATGTTTGCTGGCACTGGGTGGTGTGTAAAATTATAATTTAATTGACGTATTTAATGTGTATAAAAACACAAACACAAACAATTTACAGCACACTTTAAAATAATATACATTGATTAACCGTATAGCGGTTGCACGAGGACATTTAAACCTAGAGTAATAAACATTATGAATAATGAATGCGTGTATCATGTTTTATATTTTGATATTTTGACAATAATCATTATTGTATCATTAGTGATTAGGTGGACTCGTGCTTTCGTATCGCTCCATACGTGATCAGTAAATAGAAATAGTATAATTAGAGGTACCTATGTAAATAATTTATTTTCATTTTATAAAATTTAGCTTGAATAGTATTTATTTTTACTCAATTTATTTTTATATTATACTATATATTGAAGGAAAGTGGGCAAATTTATGTATCTACTCGAACTCTCGATTACCGACGTCTCCACAGTTTCGCAGTTTTTACATTAGATAATTTTACCTTTTTTTTTCAATGACCATGTATTACGATTATGATTCATACAAGAAAAATAGAGGAAACCTAATTTAAACAAATTAGTTAAACCATGTCGAGTCATGTAGTATACAAATTAAAGAAATCACAAATTAATACGCCTTCATTGCCCATTGTTTCTACTCAAAATTAGTTTTCTAAAAAGTTAGGTAACTATTTATATTATTAATATTGTTCAATTTGGTTTATAAATTTATATTATTTCATATATGTATATATAATAAAAACATAAAAGCAAAAGAGGTGCACTCGCACACCCCTGGCTTTTCAAAAAAAAAAAAAAAAAATAAATAAATAAATAATAAAACTATTATCTTTTAAGCAATCCGTTGATACTATTTAAAATGTATGCTTAACATTATTCGAATCCTTGTTATTTTATTGTATAATTATGAGTCACCTATATAGTCACCTATAGTCCATATAGTCCGAGGTGTATTTCATAAATATTTTCAGATGAAGACAATTATGATAATACAGCTAATTTTGATCTACAAAACCAGTACAATAATTATACCTTAAAATATTTAAATTAATATTACAGAAAAGTGTTGAGAATGAGTCAATTAATTTTTTTCCTTTTATTTATTAACTATGTAAAATAAAATATCTATAAAGAAAAAAAAGTTGATCGAATCACTTCCTTCATTTTTCAGTTATAATACGATTAAGCTTATGGATATTTTAAGAATATTATATCCATTTTCCTGCATAATTCGTTATTTTAGACATTTTGGGTTTATTCATATTGAACAATGATTATTTATAGGAATCTTGTATAGGACATTTTTCGATTGCTTTTGTAACTGAATGATCAATATAAATGTATGACATATATTTTATGGTATATTGTACTTCTAATAAATAACAACATATTGACAAGAATAACATAAGATTTATTGAAAAAAATTATATACAATAAATGTAGATGTTATAGTTATTAGCTTAAAGTGAATATTAATTAAAAAAAGATGAAATCCATCTTGATTAGGTATTTTCAAACAAAACATAGAAATTGAGCTAGAATTAAATTGAAGAAAAAAAATAGAAAATCATATTTTGTCTTATCATATTTAATCTAAGTTTTACAATTAAAAAAAAAAAAAAAAATGCTTCAACATTATATTAGGGCAGACAGGGGGATAGAAAAAGGGAGGGCATTGAAAGACCGAGACTGATACAAAAAGTAAATATTTTCGTTTTTACTGATAAGTGGATTAAAGAATGTATTGAAATATTTACAATAACTAAAACAAAATATTTGCATTAGGCGTAATATTTCACATTCTATCTTCACGTTAGTCCAATATTGGTCAGTGAATAATATTATTTCCATTATTTCTTCATATATTTACATTAATTTTATCATCTAAAAAATATTCCATCAATTTAGTTGTTCTCTTAAGTGTACATTATATTTCCGGAAAAAATTAAATATTGTTAACCTTTTGTTTTGCTTTTGGTGATTCACGCCATGCCCTTATTTCATTTGGTAAACATGGAATTATTTTATTTAAAAACGGATCTAATGACATAAAAAGTATTATTTTTCACTAGTTTTCGACGTAATGGACATTTATTAACACTCTTGGTCCATGTTTCAATACATTGATTGAAAAACATGCGAGAATAGTTAAAAACAGTTAGCTGTGAAAAAAAAAAATTACTTAATAAATCTATAATAATTCGTTGAATATAATATAGTAATCCTGTATATTATGTGATTTGTTTCAGGTATGTAGTCAATAGTTTATCGCTATATTTTAAACACAGCGGATATCCGCTCAGAAAAACCTTCTCAGTGGATACTAACTAAGATTTGTGTTATAATAATTCTTGCATAAAATTAAAAATGTATAACTGTTTATAACACTAATCTTTCTGCAGAGTCTTATAATTGGTGAAGAGATATATTTTCAAAGATTTTAGAGTAAATTATATTATCAAATATAAAACCACATTCGTCAAATTAATACATTCATTTATAACCTGGAAACCAAGAAAGTGTTTTATGTTACATTTATATTTATTTATTTTTTAGAGTTAAAAGTCCTAATACATTAATAACTGTCAAAAGACTAATAAACAATAATTAAAACATTACCTCAGTAAATATTTCAAAACAAATATTGCATCGTAGTTCCGTTTCAATATTTTTTTATAAATTAGTCCATATGATTTTTTACCGTGGACTCATTTTCCTCATTGTTTTCATTAGCAAATTGTTGACGAAATGTATTCCGTAGATCATTATCATTATCTTCGTCTAATATGTGTGCTGTTTCTGCCAGCATTTTGTCTGAGATTATTTCCATAATTATTAACTATATATATAGCTCGTATACTATGAAAAGAAAACACTTGTACTACGATGCGATACTGACGGCTTTGAGTTGAGCACTCGGGTCACGGGAGTACACGAAAAGATTACCGAAACGATACAATTCCATCAAATAACGTGCACAGACCGAATGCATGATTGAATCGTAGTGGATTAATAGTGGAAAATTAACGCAATATCGATGTGCGATCGATGAGTATATAATATACTATAGTTGGTACGCACTGAGTCGACAGTGTTATTTTTCCGTGTCTATACAAACAATCAAAACTGATAACAAGTATAAATGTAAGGTCGTGAGATGAAGCGAATGTCAACTTGAAAACATCAAACAATATAGACATCGAGTTATAGTTACTGTGGTTACCTATTTCTAAGAACATTATTTGATTATACTATACGTTGTGTATACTAAGCCGTACATTATTACTTACATTATTACATTATTAATAATTATGGATTAAAAACGAATAAAAACAAATATAGTATAATAAGTCACTACACAATTTTTATTTCCTTAATACATATTAAACATTTTTGATTCCATAAAGTATATCGTATTTGCGTGTTTAGGATTTTTTGCTGTTATTGGTCAAGGCGGTATTAACTACAAATTTACTTTCGAAAAAAATGTACATATTTCACATATTTTTAGTTATATAACGTAGTTCATAGTCTAGATAACTAAATTAAGAATAAAATACAATACAAAAATAATTTAATATCTATAATATCTATATGGGTATTTACCATAACTCTGAATTATTTTAATGTTGTATTTCGTAGCTTATGCAATTATTAATCTTCGGGTAGCTACCAATCACATTTAAAATGTTGTCCGAATCAACGTTTATGTTTATGAATTTTACATTGAATTACAGTTTGTGCGTTTTTTTTTTTTTTTGTATAACATTTTTATAAAAATATTTATATTTATAGTTTTTATAACTTGTTTCGTTTAAGAATAATATTTATCTGAACTATAGCTTATTTGTAGGATAACGGTATCTAGTCAATTTGGAATAATACCTAAAGAATGAAAAATATTTATTAAAGAATCCTTAAAATTGTACTCAAACCATCGAATGTAAATTTAAATTGTTGGATATTAAATTTATTGTGTCCTGGATTTTTTATTACATATTTGTACACTTGTTCTCAACAATTATCATAACACGTATTATCACCGTGGCCCAAATCGCTTTAAGTCAGCATTTCCAAAACTTTTTCTCTGTTGGATTCTTTAGAGATAATAAAAATGATCGCGGACCCCTTCATGCAAATAAAAATTAAAAACAATAATAAATAATAATACTAAGTGTATTGCTTTATTTTTCTTAACTAAATGCACATATTTTATGCACATATAACACACATATAATAATAAACCAACGTAATCAGTTTGTTTCCTAATCTTAATTGCTTTTCAACGAAAACTGTTTCGACAATGAAGTTATTATCAACAGTATTTTCCATGCAATACGAATATTACATCGGTATTTTCATTTATATAGATGGGTATTTTGTGTATTTTTAGTTTACGTTCGCGGACTTCCTCCGGACCCTAAGCGGACCACAGTTTGGGAAACGCTGCTCTAAGTAATCGACGTTATGTTAAGTTGATGATGGTAACACTAGCTAGAATCAAGCTATATCCTAGATAATATTAACCAAAATGTAAACAGTAAATATAAATGAAACGTCTAATGCATCCGTATCAGTATGATCAGAGGCGGATCCACAGTTAGGGAAATTTAGATCAGGCTACTTTATGAGACCATTTAATTATTTATTAATTGATGAAGGTGTACCTTAGAACTAAAAAAACACTAAATGTGTATTTGAGTTTATTCGTAATTATCGTTGAAAACATTCATTTTATAGGGTATTACATGGAGTCCAGTATAGAGATGTTTTACTGTATTATAAAATTTAACGAGTGACTTCATTTGGGTAGGGTGAAGTGGTGAAAACCTAGTCATTTGCCCTGTCTATTATTAATTTCAACTTACAGCTGGCATGCTTAAATAATTCAAAAAGTCTTCAAAAGTCCAATTTCGCTAACAAATATTAATTGTGGGTCAGATGACCTTCTGAGTATGACCAATAACCATGCGTTTAATTTATCAGATTTTCCCGCGCTCGACTGTCATGGACCAGCAGCCGCAGAGATCGCACATTTTGAAACCGAAATTTGTTAGATTGTAGGCTTAAGGACACCAAGACTTGGTGGCCACGTGTAACCTCATAATGGGTTTCCCGTGTTTTTATTAATAATAATAACCATAGGCCCTAAACCCGTAGATGGAGCTTCGTTATAGTTCTCGCGGTCAAACGAGATCGCGCTGCTCGGGTGTAACAGAATTACAAGACGAATGCGCATTACGTCAATGCAAAACGTAAATGGCAGGGTTTCTGAAATTGAAGGCCGGAAAATATTTACTAGAGGAATTTAAACTATTTTATTTAGGCTATAATAATATGTAATATAATATACATAATATGTATTTTTATACATGTTCAAATTTTAATATTATAATAAAGTTTTTCGAAAGTATATTGAAAAACATTAGTTTGTTAAAACCGACGTCTCCAGTCTCGCGACTTTTGCACTAGATAATTGTTTTTACTTATTGATCGTGTATAATGATACGTGTATGAAAAGTAGAAGAAGCCTATATAACAAAATTGGCAGGGACACATGGAATTATATGAAATAAAAATTAAAATAACACAAATTAATATGCTTCAATGTCAATTGCTCTGATTCAACATTATTTTTTTAAAAAGTTCGGTAAGTGTTGTTATTATTAAAATTGTTTTATTTGGTTTATATATTAATGTTTTTATATATTTTGGCTGTAAATACCTAATTTATTGAATACCTTTTTTTTTTACTATTTATATAATTATTTTTTTCACTTATTTAGTAACTATTGGTTAGTGGTTTGTTAGGTGGGTGGATGGTAGTTATAAACTAAGATGATTTGATTCACTATTTTTTAAAGATCCCGTCGCTACTGATCGTACTAAGGGTATGGTAAATAAGCACAAGAAATGCTTAAGTAATCAAAGTTGTACTAAATATTATATGACGAAACCAATTATTGGATTTTGATTTGCGATACTTTAAAATCTTCATATCAACTAGTTTCATCAGATGCCTATTTTATAATTTTATGAAAACTCAAAAGTTATTTTTTAAGCCAGTTATAAGGTATATAAAATACTTACTTGAAACTAATTATCATTTGGCCACAAAAAAAAAAAAATTATATTTCTGGAGATATTTTCACCATGCCATGGGCCATTCTGCAAAACTGTACAACAATTTAGTTCTTCTATATAATGAACTACAACCTTCCAAATTAAAATTACAAGTTTATGTCAGTCGATTTGTGAAAAGTAGTAAGCTGTTTAAGTTGTTTGATTTGTATTATACAAGCCATAGTAAACGATGTTCATATGATGACTATGGTTAAAAAAAAAAAAAAAAGGAAAAAAAAAGTTTGACGTAATAATGATTGCTGAACAGAATGTTTGTATCGTAGGTATTAAATAAAATTAAACGTTTCATTGTATTCCAAATTCACTTTTTATACGGTTAATAATAAATAAATACAATTATACAGCATCGTTTGGGGATATTTTACTATTGTTAGACTAGTGAAATATTATCATTTCGATGTAAAAAGAAAATTGAAATGTCTATTATAATATACTAGTATACTAATAAGCCGTGAGTGATAAAACAATTTTGATAATATTTGAAACCATATTTGTTTATAAATTCTAATAGGCACTAATTCATTTATTGATATTCTAAATAAGTTCGATTGTCATTTGTCCAGCTATGTTATATAAAAAAAAGGGCCTCGTGCAACAAAAGATGCGTACATTTACATCCCAAAGGTGAACTCTTTTAGGTGTATGTACATATTTTTGAATTACGAGTGTTTTATTATCACTTTTTAACTATAGAGTAATTATATTTCAATCGGGATGTAACAATAGATAAATAGTTCCGGAATAAATTATCAAATACTATATATTTGAAACGTAGTTTTAATTTTAGTACTTTTTCATGTTCTTTGCCTAGCAACCGTAATAGAGGCATTTAATTGGTACGAAGATTAAGTTTATCGACTGGTAAAACGACTGGTTTGACTATTGTTGCGTTGTTGCAGATTATCGAACGGTCGCGAGGGTGGGTTTCGGCTACGTGGGCGGGTTGTACACTGATAAAACGACAGGAGCGATTATGTGTGTGAAAAATTCCGTAAACCCTTAAGTCGAACGGACCGGCACGTGTGCGTGGGACCCGCTGTCAGTGTACGCACACGCCTCCGGGCAGCGTTCGTGCGGGGAATGTTTCCGAAGGCCTCGATCTCGCACAACAATAAGACCAATTACGCGAGAGCGATACGATTAACATATTATTATTATTATTATTAATATTCAACGGAAACGCACGTGTACGAGTTAGCGTTTTTCCCAGATTGTTCCCGAATTGTTCCGTAAGAATTCGCCGGCGACTACGGTCGTGTCCCCTAACACCGATAGGTCGAAGTGCCGTCGTCAGCGGCAGGGATCGGGGATTAGGTATCGATATCGCAGTCACCGCCAAGAATCCTTGTTAAATTACGACACTGTCAACAGTCAACGCTACACACACACCCTTTGTCCACTGCGGCGGCGGAGTCATTGTTGTTAGGTACCGTATAACAACACCCTCGTGCGATCCGTTGAACAATGAATGCCGTTCTTTGTCCCTGGCTTAACCCGCTCGATTATAAACAATACGGACGTGTACATCCTCTTCACCGCGCTCATCCGACGCTCATCCCGGACTTTTACTCACGTTTTGCAATAATACTCTAATAATTGATATCCTATATTATTACATCCAAGCGTGTTACACTTGTGTGCTGTTTGTATTGCCATCGCGGCCGCCGGAGACGGATTAAAATATTATAATAACCGACGTGGGTCGGCGATGGACTAGGAGCGGAGGATTTAAATCTAAAAACCACTCGCGCGCTTGCATGTGCGTGTGTGTGTACCTATACGATCGTATGGAAGAGATGAAAAAAAAGGGTTTTATTCGCTTACTATGACGTACATCCGCTTATTGTTGT